TCAAGACTCAGTAGCTGAGTGAATAACGCTATGGCGTTTGAAGCGAATGGTACTGGGTTCCAGTCCCAGCGTGAAAATCAACTCTGGAATGCAGGTACATCCAGCTGACGAGTCTCAAGCAGGACGAAGCGCGCGTCCTGGATTCCACTGCTAGCCACTATCCATCAATGCTTACAAAAAGGTAAACATTTTGTTTAGAACTAACAAATATTTTGTTTCCTAAGTTGTTTTTATATCAAAAGATTACAGTATACAGATAGATTCCAAAATATCGACGACTCATTCATGAAAGTGACTAATTATCGATAAAAATACTCTAAGTAATCGTACAGAAACATCGTTCATTTTGTTAAGCTGATACAAATAAAATTAATTATGGATTTCTGACGAAAATGCAAGTCAAATTGCGTATTTTTGTTGTTGAAATTCTAAATTGTAAGATATCGAAAAGAAGATGATAAATTGTGTGAGCTGAATAGGAGATTAACAATTCTACATATATATTGACGGATTATCAGATTTAACTAGATATGGTTTGTAGTGTCGGTTGCTTTGTATGACGACAGACCACAGGTGAACTCGAGGAAGCTGTAGGAGGCTCAGAAGGAGCCAAAGATATTCCATCCAATCACCTTTTGGAAGAATATTCTAGAATTCCTACCTGTAGCTTACTGATTGGGCGACGCTAATAACCCTCTGTATGCGGACTGGAGGACTGTAATGATAACTTCGTCCTTACTAAAAACTATAAATACCTGATAATTTTGTACTATAATTGACACTGTCTGGGAATAATATTCCTTTCATTAGTCTTCTGTCTTCTCATTGCGACTTGGAAGGGTTCTGGCGTTCTAGTGCTCACGTTATACGCGGTATATCAAGAAAAACCTTCAAGATATAACACTATGTTAAGCCCGTATAACTTATTCTAGCTTCTGAACAGGCCAATTTATTCATTCATTCACGTAATGACCTTATTAATCTTTCGTTTATCAACCTTGATTTTTTTTATATGAGTGTATGTATGTGTACACTTCTTAGTCCATTCATCACAAATCTGTAGCTTATTTTTGTGTGACTATAAACATGGATTAACGCTTGGTTAAATGGAGTTGACTCACATGCCTTCTCCACTGAGCGTTATTTCGCTTCGCTCTCTTCTCATCGCTGCTCCGATATTTTGCCTGGATCAAAGATTGCATGAAATATACGTATTCGAAATTCACTCTCATATTTGACTCATTTAATTCTGTTACTGACTAACGCGATTTAAGTCGATGATTATATACGACGAATAGGTGACATATATATTTCAATAACAATCATTCATACAATCTATTTGGAGTCAGATCCCGGGCCACTAAATATACAAGAGAAGCTAGTTTGGTTGACTGACAATTTCAAAGTACACTGATACAATCTTGAGAAGATTTTTTCCCATACATATTGTTCTCAAGAAATCATCGGTTTAACAAGCTAAAAAAAAGAAACAATTTTTTCATATTTTTTACAGATCTACACAGAAATTGATAAAAGTAGTAAAGAAATTGAACTGGAGAAAAAAGAAACTGACTATTAGTTGTAACAAAATCAAATTGTCTTAAGATATTCCAAATACTCACCGAAAACTCTGAAGTCCCCAAGTGATTATAGAGCTTTCAGATTTCTGGCCGAAAATTCTACGAAACAATGTGTTCTTACACATTTACATTTAAATAAATAATGAACGTGTAGTCACTTGTGATTAGCTGTGTTTAAGTTACTCGAAATTCTAGTGAGGAGCTGTGACCTATAAGGTGTTAACCATTTTAAGATTGAAGTAATTAAACCATGGTAACATTGTCCATTGGTTCTAATCTATTTAGAGTTGACTAAAATTCTCAATGAGGATTATTGATGTAAAGATATGATACTATCATATTAACCTAAGTGTTCTAGGTGAAATGAGTAGATTAAATTGCGAAAAGGTCTTAGGTTAGAATAAAACTAATAATCAATACTACCTGATTTCCGATAACTTTCCATTTGATACTATTTATTAGTGAAAACTGTTTTCATACTAAACAATTCTTTATCTAAACATATGTAGATAAATCTCATATACTGTCGGAATTCTGCTTCCACTGTCTCATTTCGGTTTGGTTACTCAAAGGTTTCTTCAAACATACTTCTATTTTAATAGTTGAATTCATGAGTCAATTGAAGCTAAACCAACATAGAAAACATCGAAGTGTGGGACTCCTCAGCACTGCACATCTACGATCCCGCCCCTCGCGAAATTCGAACCCAGAACCTATCATTCTCATGCGCGAACGCTTAACCATATCTGTGAGACTTGATATTAATCTCCCCCTAATTTAATTATAAAGATAATATGTTCTGATAATATGTTTTGATAGATACTTATGAAAGATTACCAAATTTACTATTCTGTTAAAAATTACACTATGCCGTCATTCAATATATAGATATACCTTATATACTGTTAGCATTACTATACTTCCACTGTAAATCGATGTCTCATCTCGATTCGGTTACTCAAAGCTTTTTTTTACAAACTTATATCTATTTCATTGAATATTACACTTTGAATTAATTTAATGTTTATAATCACACAACACAAGTTCAAATCATCTCATTTGATGAAATATCATAGTTTTTATTTCATATTTATTCAATGTTTAATTTCATTATTAAAACCCTTCATAATTGAATTCACAAATAACTTCATAATTCGTTACAATTAAAAATGAATAGCTTTCCACTTATGGAAATACGTTTCTGTTGTTGTTGTTGTTGTGGTGGTGGTGGTGGTGGTGGTGGACAAAATTCACCAATAAAATTCAGCAAAATTAATGTATATTGTGTAACTATGTGTAAATAATCCACCCTGTTTATATTTATTTATTTATTTGTTTGTTTATTTACAATGTTTTATTGATTTATTTATTGCATCATTCTAAATATTTACGTCTTTCTGATAACATGATATTTACAACAAATAAATTAGAATGATTCAATAGATTTGTGTAAATAAGAAAGAACTTATAAATAGTGAAAGAATGATTACATCATACATTAATTGTATGTATTCACCTTTTATTAGATATTTCCTATTTGTTTCTGATTGTTTTATCATTTATTCAATATTTTTCTAAAACAAAAAGAAAAACAAAAACAAAAAAGAAGAAAATCATCAACTTGATAAAAAAAAATGAGAAAATTTTGGATAAAACATCATCAAACCATTTCAATTAATCTTGTTATATTTTGTTTTTTAATATTTAAAATGTCCGAATCTTTATTACAATATGGTAATCGTATTAATATTTATAAAAATGTATGTCAAATAATAATAAGTCAATTAAATATAACATTTGATCAATTATGTCAATTTCATTATTATCATCATCATAATAAACAACAATATGAAATGGTCAGTAACGATTTACTTGTTAATATGAATACTTCTACTATTATAAATGATCATTTGAATTCAAGTAATGAAATACAAATACAGAATAAAATGAATTCTATAAGATCTATTCAATCTAATTTATATACTATACAAATGAATATACAAAAATTATCTGGATGGTATTTATTAATTTATCGTCTTTTAACTAATATACCAGCTATGTTAATATGTTTTATTTATGGTTTATTATTAAATAGAATAAGTCAAAATTATATTATGATTATACCATGTTTAGGATGTATTCTATCATGTATATTATTTATAATTAATTTATTACCAAATTTAAAATTAATAACAAATTCAATGTTATTTATTTTAATTGGTGGTACACTATATGGATTATGTGGTAAAAGTAATGCAATAAATTTATGTGTTCATAGTTATATAACACAATATAGTAATAAAAAAAAATGTACAAATATAATTGGACGTTTATTAGGTGTAAATTTTTTTGGTTTAGCAATTGGTGCATTATTAGTTGGTATGTTTTATCGATTTTTAAATTATTTTGAAATGATTATATTTGTCATAATTGGTAATTTATTCATAATAATTATTTTATTATTTTTGGTAAAAAATTCTAAAAAATCTTTGTTGAATTCTTCATCATCATCACCATCAACAACAACAGCAACAACACATTCAGTAGAAATAGTGATTAATCCATCTGATGAACAACATGTCGAACAGAGGGATTTGAATGATAACCTTACTGCTACTACTACTACTACTAATAATAATAATAATAATAATAATAATAATAATACCAGCCATACGAACTCATATACACACGAGGAACATAAAACATATTGTCAAGATATAATTTCTTACTTATTAAAACCTTTATTTATATTAAAATCTTCTTATAAATTTCTATTCCCTAAACGTACTACTACTACTACTGATAATAATAATAATAATAAACATATTTACTTATTAACCTTATTAAGTACAATATTATTAAAACAAATAACTAAATCTGGTGAACAAGATGTAACATTATTATATTTAATGAATCAATCAAATTTATTATGGAATACTGAATTATATGCATATTACATAACATGTTATTATAGTTTAATGTTTATACAATTAATTATATTATTACCAATTATAGAGAATAAATTTCTTATACGTGATACAACATTAATTATTATTGGTTTATTTACTGAAATGATACGTTTATTAATTTTAAGTTTATTACATCATAAAATATTGATCTTTTTAAGTGCTATAATTGGTTCACCAGCATGTTATATAACAACTTGTACAAAATCATTAATAAGTAAATTAGTAATATATAATGATGAATTAAATATAAGTTTGACAATTATATCTATAATAGAAATTATAGCTAATTTTATTGGTGGATTCTTATTTATATTTATATATAATAAAACTTTATTATATTATTCATCATTTATATTTATATTTGATGTAATATTAAATATACCAGTTATTATTATATTTATATGGTTAAGATATAAATTAATTGAATATGAATTAAATAGAAATTAAATTATTATGTAATTGTTTTTTCATTACATATCAATATAATTGTAATAATTATAACTAAAAAAATGAAGTAATAGAAAGTGAATGACAGTTAGTCACATTGATTACATCATCATCATCATCATCATCATCATCACCAGCAGCAGCAGCAGCAACAGCATCCTCATACCGTTTTCTTGATCTGATGAAATCAACCCATTTGAATTATTCAACCGATTCTTTTCATTTATAATAGAAAATGATCTATCTGGAAAGCTATCTTCTTGAGCTTTCGGTACATAATTATCTGTTTCATTAGCATGTTGTAATGTAGTGATAAGACGATTTTTACCCATTATTGTATCATTTATTATACCATTATGATCATTTTCATAACTATCCGAATATGAATAATAATCATTTTGACAATAATTCCTAATGTTATTTGTGCCAACTATTGGCTTAACAATATATTGTCGTCTATTCATTAATGATGATATTTGATTGTTATTATTCATTACTGATTGTTTTGATCTATTACTTTTAGCATCATTGATATCTCTTCTTGTACCGGCGCTAACTGATCTACGTGACTTTGTTCTATGTTGTGATGATTTGATTAATTTTGTTTCAGATGAATTATTCAATGATGTATAGCTTGTAACATCATCATCATCATTATCATCATTGTCAATGATGCTTGTAACTAATAGCATTGAAATATTACTTAGTAACTGTACAAATACTTATCATATTTATAATGATTAACAAAAATCTTAATTATACTTAAACATAATATGATTAAGTATTAGATTCTGCACTTTTTTTACTTCTCTCTTTGTTTTTCTTGCTTTTTTTCTTTTTGAATTATATACTACTTAATATAATATTGATTTACTATTAGTACAAGTGTATACTTCTTAAGAAATGGTATTGTTTTAATGAACATTTTCTATCTCTTTTTTTCTTTCAAAACAACAACATCTTCATTTTATTTCACATACAACAAAATAAGTTTCATACACATAGATCCCATTGATTATCTTAAAGAGAGTAAGAACTCCACTAATCTTCGTTTTTGCTCTCATTAAAATACAATAGGATACTTTCCTTAATTTCATTATTCTAAAATAACATTTTATAAAACACTTATATTTAAGTCTTATCAATAATGAGTCGTTATTACTAAGATATTTTTGGTATGATTTAATATTCTTAATTAACTTAAACAAAATTCGTGAATTATAATTATATTCATATAGTATAATCTGTAATACTGATGTATTTGAATGATTTCAAACATTAAAATAAATTATATTGACCAAAGTTTAATGTTTTAAATGGATTCGAATCTCACGGGGGCTGGGATCGTGAATGAGCACTGTTGAGGAGTCTCACAATAGGATGAAACAGCCGTCTAATACTTCCAGGTTTTACGTGGTGGTCTAACTTTGATTGACTCATGATCTCAACTATTAAAATTACTATAATATCTACAAAAAACACATCCTCATATTAATCAACATATGCTCATTAGTGATTGGCTTCAAGAGGTATTTCATGGAGTTCTAGTTAGAAGCAGTGACTAGTGGAGTTCAACTGTATCTGTTATGAGATAGTAACTGATTGAAGACAATGGTGGATGTGTTGTTGAATTTTGTGGATTAGTGTAAGTTAGACATCGTTAGACACCATTGGATGCTAACCGACTCAATGGTCTAGTGGTTAAGCGCTCGTACGCCAAACCGATGGGTCCTGCGTTCGAATCTGGCGGGGGGGGTGTAATCGTTTATGTGCAGTGCTGATGAGTCTCGCACTAGGACGACACGGCTGTTCAATGCTTCCATGTTGGTCTAGCTTTAACTGACCCATGATCTCAACTACTGAAATTTAACAAACCTCCAATTTCGAAAATTATTATAGTCAACCTGCTTATGGTAAACATAGAGTGGATTATCTTCACCAATGACATAAAACCACGAATTCGGCTTAGATACGTAGATGATAACTTTTTTATGAAAAAAGGAAAGACTTATTTAATATGTTTTTCGAGACGGCCCAATACACTTTCGTAGCACATTAAACTTACAAACGAGAATGAAAATGAACATGGTGAGCTACTGTTTTTAGATTACTTAGTGAGAAGAAGTCTAAATGGAATTCTAAATCTATCCATCTACCGAAAACCTACATACTCAAACCTTGACCGAAATGGCATTGATTTGTTCAGATCTGTTTTTTGATTGATCATACATAATATTCTTGTGTTGTTCCTTTGTACTATTTAAACTTGAATTAATTTTGATTTGGTTATTTATTCCCTGAAAAATTGACTTACACTGAGCCACAAAACGTTGGAAAATTTGATTTTTCTATTCATTAGGATATTGCAAATATATTAATTTTGTTTATAACAATTTACCCAATGCTCAGTTTATTTGAAATGATCAAACCTTGGTAATGATACCTATATTGATCAAAGTTCAATCTTTCAAATGTGAATTAAACAAACCTCCACTTTTGAATATTATGATTAATAACGGTTAATTAGTTTGTTATAAATATAAAGATTGATAATAGAATTCAGTGCAGAAAGAGAGTATTCACCTGCATTTTATATATTTTTAGTATTTTAATATATATAATTGTAACACTGAACATCGTACCCCTATGGATGATATTTATGAAAATAATTACGAAGTAAAAGATATATAAATGAAAATTATGGTGGTATATTCAAACTGCATCACGAGGCAAGCCCTAACTTGGAATCCTGAAGGGAAGCGAAAAAGAGGAAGGCCAAAGAACACATTACGTCGGATAATAGAAGCACATATGAAAACGATGAATTACAACTGGACGGAGCTAGAAAGGATTGCCCAGGACAGGGTTGGATGGAGAATGCTGGTGAGCAGCCTATGCTCCTTCACGAGGAGTAACAGGCGTAAGTAAGTAAGTAATATTTTTCGGCATTACTCATCGAATCCAGTTGCACACACTATTGTATTTTGTCTTTTTCACATTATTAAAATCTTTTGTGATAAATTCTTAATTAAAACAGTCTATTAATCAAGTCTTTTGATGTAATGCACCCTTATTTTTTTAAGTTTCATATTCCTTTTTTCATTGAAATTCATCGATTTAGAAGATTTTAACTGTTTACTTCAGTAATTCAAAAGTTATCGATTTCAGGCAACTACATTGATATAACTCATTATCTGTAAAATGTTCAGGGATATAAACAAGACTAATTACTGTTTAGTCTAGTTCCCTCATTGTACTTTATTCATCATTTTCACTGACACAATTGAAGTATTCTTTATATACTGACTACTAAAATGTTTAAACGACTAGGTACACTATGATGGAAAATAAGATATGGTTGAGTGATTGATGTAAATTAGTCTCTAGTTGATTGAAATCGAATCTTCTCAGCTTTTGACGATTTGTTAATTCAACTTCAACTCACTTTTTAAACAAATAACATAAGTTCAAATGACATTTTTTTAAATAAAGCAGTTTCCTCATTAGAATAACCAATAAATAATAAATCTTTTACAAGTATTAATATCACAGATGACATAGAAACGATCACCAATACAAATATAAGTTCGTATAGAACAACAAAATCCAAATATATACATCTTAGTACGGTTGGATAATGACTGACATATATGCTTGTTTTTATTATTGACATAGTTGGAAATTAACTGGTCTACTTGTTTAACTAAGCCATAAAATCTCTTTAAAGCTTTCAACTTGATTTAATATAATTGTGAAAATCATTGGATAGAAATCAGTTTTATGCGAAACTTTAGTGCCATTTTTATGTTTTTCATTGATGCAATGAGAAGAGAAAGTCGATTTAAATAAGTATAAATGATTTATTTGCAATAATACACATACATATTGTACGAAAGTTTGATTAAATATTTCTTCTGTTTTTCCTTCTCAGAATATATCACTAAACAGTCTTCAAAGCCTTGTCAACCTCTGAGTTGCATACTTTGTAATCTTATAACAGTGACTCATGTAATCCAATGTATAACGTACGTGTCCAACCATTTCTAGAACGCTGCAATTTTATTCTGTATAATGTTCACATAAAAGATAAAATTAAGTTGGAATCCGTTCAGATATGAATTACATTTCAAATTCTTGAGAGTGGCAGCAGAATCCGACGTCGCTGGATAGTAGGGGAAACTTTGCTAGCCAATTTAGGCGGTCGACGGAGATCAGACTGATCACCTACTCTGTTGTATCCTTTATGGACTCGGGTTCTAATCTGAGGCTCACCAAATGGCATCGGTTCATCTGATATCTTTACTTATGTATAAGAACTGCAGAAGTCCTTGGGTCTATGTAATTCATGTATATAAGTATATGCGAAGGGTGTGAGTGTGGTGCCATACAAAGAAAATGTTAGCTAAAATATTTCTGCCTAATATTTCTGTCTAATAAAATCAACCACCTAGTCTATCAGGTTGAAGTCACAATAAAAAGATTTGGTAGCAAATACTAGCGAGAGGCGACCAACAACCTCCGCTGAGGGAATGCTTAGGCTTATTTGTGATTCAGGAAGTACTGAGACGGTAGCCATGGTGTGAATGATATGCATGTAATGTGTAAGAGACAGTCATTCTAGAAAATACGTTTCCAAGGGAGTGGTGAACGTCTACCATCCCAAGTGGGTGAATATACCTATGGGGTGCACGAGATAAAATCTGTGTGTTACCGGTGTGCATGTAAACTATACTTGCTCACAGGATAGGTATGCCTGTGTGTATACCAAGGAATACTGGGATGAAATTGAGTGTGTTATTTGGTACGGATATAGACTATACTTATCCAGGATAAGCAAACCTCAAAATGTCCTTTACTTGCTCTCCTTACGATACAAGCAAAGAACTGGAGGGTTGCGGTTCCCCACAAAATCATATCCTCGCAGTGCGTTTGTTAAGATTGAAAACATGGAATCCATTACAGAAAAGCCTATGTAAGCTTCATCAGAAGGAGCTTCATCAACCAATCTGGATGGAATACCATTCTTGGGAGTGATTATACATTAGAATACAAATCCAGAAGCAATAAGCTGGATAATATGTGAAAGCAGAGATTTCAACTAGATCTAATCTTTTTCTCTAAAATACTTAATAAACTATCTCTTAGACCCACGAATACAATCAAGAAACACCTAGTTATAACTTCCCCAACTCCTTATCATCAATGAAATTGTCTCATTATAAATGTTGTCTGTATATGAATTACTTTACTTGTAAATTTTTGAAACTCTGGAATAGTTTATTACAATCTGTCAGTGAAATAAAATCACTGACATCCTTTTCCTTTATAGCATCGATAGGATAAAACATGCATCCTGGATTCCACTACTAGCCAACATCCATTTCTGCTTAGAATCCTTGTGAATTAAGACAATATCACGGTAATTCGTACAGGATGCACATATACCAATAAGACATTAATCAATTACAGTTCTAAACATCAATGGGAAGTGTTATATCCCGATGAAAACAATGAATGATAACTTTTGGGACCCATTTATGAACCAATACTACGTGTACATTTTTATCGTATAATTATTAAATAACTAAACTATTCATATTCGTGTTCTTCTTATTATGAGCCTTATTTTGACTTATGAACTATTATTATACGATTTACCATTCTTAAATTATGCCCTGTCTATTGATTACTACCTCCCTCATTTACAGCCACATTCAGCTAAATCTTGTACAAATATTGTTTCCTATTTTATGGTATGATGTAGTCTGTTTGGTTGGTACATAAACCCAGTATATTTGAAATAAATGAATGATATTGCAGAGGCTGAGGTTAGTGTTCTGAACTTAACAGGCTAGGCGAAGTGGGAAGCAGAACTGTTAAGTACTCTATGTAGTGAACAAGAACACCGATGGAGAACAATCGAATGTATTTGACACAAAATTACAGGACTTGTTAATAAAATCTAACAATCATAAAGTAAATGCTTAATTTACAAAATATTCACCAATTGTCACAAAATGACTCAAACTTCATTGTTCTTGCATTCTCATACAAATTCTATCCTGTTTCCATTCTTTACTATTCGATTCTCTTGTCTCTCTGCTTTCACACCTTCTGTTCACTACTAACATCATATACTACTTATGTCAATATAAGTAGCACACACCACATTCTAGATTGCTCGTACGGATTTTATGCATCATTGGTCCAATCGATAATTCACTATTTTCTAATTGGCTATATCATTACATTATACAATAACAAAGCACACAGGTCACAAATTA